TTTCAAAATGAACAGGGTATAATGATGATGAGTAAAATAATAGCTATATTAATGTTTCAGGGGACTGTTTTAAGAACATCACAATGTATATATTACTTTGAAAAGAGATTTTCAAGAGGAACAATAACAGAATGTAATTTAATGGAATTTTGAGGTTTTACTTAGAGGACAATCGTTAGCACTGATCACTTTTAGTATATGCTTTGGTTAAAAAAAAACATTAGAGACATTTGATTTATGCTTAGGTTTTATTTAGGCACACTGAAATTAAATGTTGAAACTCAGCGAGTACAAGGACCGATTCATAGGTATGGAAAGATGCCAAGGAGATGCTTACATTAGGGAACATGTGCGTGTTCTCTGACAAATACCCCTTATGTTGTATTTTGCTTATTTGCTCTAATAAGCAAAGCCTAGTAGAAGGCTCCAACAGTAAACTGGCTGCTTGGAAATATGATTAACTGCATTCTAATTCCAGAAAACACACATGAAAAATCAAGCATACCAGCAGCAGCATCCAATCAAAGGACACAAGGCATATCTCGTGGGAGTAATATCATGGAGTTTTCCTAGACAGGTTGGTTAAAATGTTTGGCAAGTTCTCTCCTTGTGTAAAACACTATGCTAACCATGCATTGCAAATACAACTGTGTATGCAACTAATATTTGATAGTTCTTTTAGCACACTTGTATTAGCTGAGTGTGCATACATAGTTGTTTCACTATGATGCAAACTAATGTTATACTATATGCAGAAGCAGGATCATTAGACAAATATTGTCAGAGTGGCCTATAATGTTTAATGTGCTGATGAAGAGGGAAATTCAGAGTTTTCTATATATGCTGTCCCTGAGAGTCTATGTTCTTTTTTTTTTTTTTTTTTTTTTTTTGGTTTTTCGAGACAGGGTTTCTCTGTGTAGCTTTGCGCCTTTCCTGGAACTCACTTGGTAGCCCAGGCTGGCCTCGAACTCACAGAGATCCGCCTGGCTCTGCCTCCCGAGTGCTGGGATTAAAGGCGTGCACCACCACCGCCCGACTGAGTCTATGTTCTAATTGATGGCCCCACAGAAAAATCAACACAGGGGCTTTTCCTGAACTCAGATGTCATGTAAAAGAGAGTAACCATATGAATTAAAGACAGAGTACTGATCATGATAATTAAAGCAGAATTATACTAGGGGAAATGAAAGAATTTTTGAATATTGTCAAAATATCTATATTTGGATATGAATAATGAGCAAAGCATTTTGTGAGTATTTATGAAACTTTGAATCAACAATGAATGCCACATGCTTTCAGACATATGTGAAACTACACACAAATGAATAAATACAAATAAGAAATTGTAAAAAGTATACAATCATTATGAATATTACACTTTAATATAAACACCTCAAAATATGACATAATCATTAGAACAAGTAAGATACTATATCCAAACTACCTATGTTCAGAATAAGGCTAAATGTACCATTACTATTTAAAAAAAGTAGCATCTTATTTCGGTCATTGTTGTACACACACACACACACACACACACACACACACACACACATACATATATATGTATATCAAAAATATTTTTATTGGAGTGGTATAATTCAAGAATCTATCGTTAGAGTAGAGGAAATGAAATGACATATCAGAAACTGAATGCAGGAAACTGCAGTCCTCAGCACAGAATCACAATCAGCCAGCAGCAGGCAGAAAGGGAGGGATGCTTGTATGTAGGCAGTAATTAGGCCCAAGCAAGGTTATATGATTACCTCGTAAGTGACATGCACTGGTTGTTTTGTTTTGATTGGTTTGTTTTGTTTTGTTTTTGATAGTTTGAGTCAGAGCACAGAGTAAATTGCATTTTTTTTCTTGCGTACTTTCAATTTCGCTGTTTCAATGACAGCACACATACATTTAGGTGGGAGAGAGAAATGAATCGGCATATCTGATGGAGATCGCCATGGTTACCACAGGATTTGCCTCATTTGCTGGAACTGAGATAATTGTCCTTATTGGTTCTTATCCTTGGCTCAATTTGAATGCACGCAGTCCTTCAATCAGAGGCAAGGAGTGGTAATAAAAATGTCTGAGGTGCAGCTTTTTACCAGTCAGGCTCTGGCTATACTCCAGGACACAGTTGGTCGTGAGTATAAACAACCGCCAACTCTATATTGGCCCAGAAAAGGCTGACTGCTCCTGACATCTATAGGAGACAGAGCCCATGCAGTTTAGCAAGGTCAGGATTGTTTGATTCCCAGGAGCACAACTCTGAGTTCCCTGAACCTGTCACCTGTGCAGCAAGTAGGATCCTGCTTCTGAAGCTACAGCTTCTCTTTAAAGATGTGACATCTGAGGCTCAGTCTAAAATGCTGCATTATAATGAAGGAAGATAATCCAATACAGGCTTTACAAACTGGCACAGAAAAAGAGAGTCCTGCTCTTTCCTGTCTGAGGGAGATCCACTGTGGGAATAGCTATGGTACTGTCACTTTTTTTCCAGTTAAATAGAGTCATTGAAAGTATCAAGCAATAACTCTTCCAGACACTAGACTTTCTGTCACTAGAGTCTCTGGGTGGACAATAAAGAAGAGCACATGAAATTTACTTCTTATAATCCTTTTGTCATTTAGGGACTCAGAGTTACAACTTTCAAATGTTGGTGGGCATTGTCAATTGTTTTTGATACATAGGAACTCTTGGACATGATTTTTTTTTCCCTGGTCAGCCCATTTCTCTCTATGACATCAGGCGAGGCACGAACTTGGTTGGAAATTAGTTATATATTTCTAGTGACAGTCAGATATTACATTCTTCCCTTGAGAGTAATTAAGAGTAATTAAGATTCCTTTTTTCTTGTATCTGGTATTTTCATGTTTAGTACCTTTTAAAACTTTATCTTGTGTCTGAAAACTCACATTCTGAATTTCTCTGACAGATAGGAAAGTTGAGATTGTAAAACATTGTCATTAAGGAATGATCCCCCATCTCTGAATCTGTTGGAATATTTTTGGTATCTTTTCAACACAGATAAGGGAGGCTTTAGTTAAGCCATGTGAAAAAGGCATTAAACATCAGAACATAGATACTCAAATCCTCTAAGGGTCTATAGAAAGAGGCTGCTGTATATGATTGTGTTGATTCCCAATTAATACGAGATGAAATTTCTCTGATGTGGGTCAAATGATAACCAGATCTATCAGTTCATCACTATTTCTTCAGGACTCACTTTATTTCAATTTAACTCCATTCGAATGAGAGACATAATAGTTATGGTTCTCTGACAATTTTATTCTCAGTTTCTTGGTCCTTTTATGAGATTAGGCCATTTATTCACCTCATTGAATTAATCGTAATCCTTGCAAGTAATTAATTGCTCCTATTATAAATAGACCACTGTGGCAAAAGTAGGAAAAAGTAGAAGACTACTCTAAATGTGATGTTTTTTGACATGTAGCTCCTGACTATGACACATTTGTTCTTGCTGGAGTTATATGCAGAGCAATTTTCATTCCTAACAGATGGAGTCATTCCCAATGGAGCCTCTAATGAGATGCCATGTGGATATCTGTTCTGTGATGACTTAAGTATGTAAGATCTTCAATAATTCCTTATCACCATCATATTGGCAGATGCAGTCCTGGTTTGGAAAATGTTTGTGAATCACCAGTGGGGGACTATGGGAGCCTCCTTAGCCAAGAAGTTAAACAAATAACTCTTTACTGACACCTGAAAGAAAACTCTGATTCCCCTTCTTGGTCTAAGATATGCAGTTGTCACAGTATCTCCATGATAAAAGTTGAACCATATCAATTACTTTCATATATGTATAAATGTTTTTGTATGTGTATGTATATGTGCCTCCTTCTGACACACATTTAGAGGTATAAATATATATGTATGTATAAAAATACATATGCGTACTTGTGTATGCACCTTTATATAGTTGAGCATTTCTCATATGTGTACTGTACTTATAAAATTTCACTCTTTTTTATTCTTTCTCCCTCATTACCATGTCTGCTTCTGGAAATTCCAAAAGAAATACTACTTCTTAGTGAATTTATATTTTTTCATACATACACTAATATAGTCAGAACTAAATGAAGCATTGTATAGAATGTGGTGATGATAAATGAACATTTTTATCCTTGACCTTCTGGAACTGAAAGACCTCACAATGTCATTGTTGAAAAACCTGCTTATATCTATCTTAGTATCCATCCTTTCTCCTTAGCTTTTCTGCTTAGTGTATTGAGCCCAGAGAATTTCCACAATGTGCTGGCATGACGATATTTTTTGTCATGCTGCTACAATTATTTGGGTGTTTTTTTGTTTGTTTGTTTGTTTGTTTGTTTACTTTGGATTATATTTTTAGGTAGGTGTTCCTATTTTCTAAACATTGGTCTTTGAAATTTGGCGTCCTTAGAAGACAGTTTTTCCACAGGAGGAATCCTGTTCCTTAGGATCATGAATTGTGTCTTAGCATTGAGTACCACACTTTTTTGCCCAGGAAAAATGTTGAGTTGTGTAAATTTATCAGGCGGCTGTAGACAGAGCATTGTTAAGTACATAGCAGTTTGTGAAGGTGTGGAATTTTGTAATAGTGCTGTAAATGATGTCATTTTTGGACAGTTACAACTAAAGTTGCCTGTGGGTATACAGATAGATATATTGAACACTGTTCCAAATAACGTGTCTTCAGAGATGTTGCCAAAGAGGACTGTCTCTGGGTTCACTAATTCTTATCCTTATGTATCAGGCCAGGTTAATACATTGGGGATTATTTTTCCTTATTTAAATGATATATGTTTCATTTAATCAAAAAAAATGAAACATTCGGTCATGTCTGCGGGAAACAAGGATATAATGCCCTAGGATATTCTAAGTCCTGATAAGTTTTATATTTAAATGCGGTGGTAAGATCAAATCTCACTTCATATTTTCTGTTGTGTTAGATGTGATTTTGATATGAACAGCGCATCATGGTAATGATGAGTAAAATAATAACTATATTAATGGTCCAGGGGACTGTTTCTGAGGACATAACAATGTAAAAATTGCTTTAAAAAAAACCCAGATTTTCATCTGACAAGAGGCAAGATGGCGACAGGTGGCAGAGCTCCGGAGGATCTGCAGCGGGGCCTTCTGCAGATGCCGCTCCCCGCGCAGCCTATGGCCCAGGCTGAGGAAGCCCAGGGCACAGGAGAGAAGATGGGCTGGGCGCAGGTAGTAAAGAACCTGGCGGAGAAGAAGCACGACTTCCGTGAGCAGTGGCGGGGAGAAGAAAGGGGCAGAGGTGCAGGCGGCAGGCTGGGCAGCCCCGCGGGCCTGGCCATTCCGAACCCCGGCAACTTCCCACCTGCCGGCCGCGGGGACCCAAGGGGCTGCGGGAGAGACCCTGCGGGCTACGCGGCAGAAGCTTGCAGGATGAAGGGAGCTGGAGACGCGAATCAGAGGAAGATGGCCGAGGTGGCGGTGGCGGCGGCGGCCATGGCGTCCCCTGCCAGGCCTGGTGCGACCAAAGACGCCACTGCAGAGCGCCCACTCCAGGATGAGCCTCCAGCCGCCAGGCCGGGTAAGGGGCGCTTCCTTGTGCGCATCTGTTTCCAGGGAGACCATAGTGCCTGTCCGACCCGGGATTTCGTGGTGGGAGCTCTCATCCTGCGCTCCATCGGCATGGATCCTGGGGACATCTATGCTGTCATCCAGATCCCTGGTAGCCGCGAGTTTGATGTGAGCTTCAGATCTGCAGACAAGCTTGCCCGGTTTCTCCGCATCTATGAGGAAAAGCGGGAGCTGGATGACTGCTGGGAGAACTTTGTGGTGTTGGGGCGGAGCAAGCCTGGCTTGAAGACCCTCTTCATCCTCTTCCAGAATGAGACCGTGAATGTGGAGGATATCGTGACCTGGCTCAAGCGCCACTGCGATGTGCTGGCCTTGCCAATGAAAGTGACTGACAGGTTTGGGATTTGGACTGGGGAGTACAAGTGCCAGATTGAGCTGCGCCAGGGGGAGGGCGGATTGAGGCACCTGCCTGGAGCCTTCTTCTTGGGAACAGAGAGGGGCTACAGTTGGTACAAGGGGCAGCCCAAAACCTGCTTCAAATGTGGTTCTCAGAACCACATGACCGGCACCTGCACTCAGGACAGGTGTTTCAGGTGTGGAGAAGAGGGGCACCTGACCCCTTACTGCAGGAAGTTCATCATGTGCAACCTCTGTGGCAAGGGAGGACACATGTATGCCCAGTGTCCCAAAGCAGCTCACAGTTCCGTGGGAGATCATCTCACTGGCATGGTGGGGTATTGAATGCATTTCTGCCTGCCTGCCTTGTGAACACACAGCCAGCTTATCCTTCTTAAGTGCCAAAACGTTTTTTTTTTTGTTGTTGTTGTTGTTTTTTTTTTTAAGAGCATTTTGTCTCTTTTTGGAAGTAGATATTTCTAAAACTTAACAGAGACATCTCTCTATGCCTTTTAAAACCACGTGTGCTCCTTTTAAGCTTGTTTGAAAAGGACTATTCAGAACTGTAGCTTGCAAATGTTGCCTGCCCCCTCCCCCTTTTTTTGCCCCTTTTACATTAGTTTTGGTACTTTTGTCAACACCTTTTCCCCCTCTGTATTTTTACTACCTCCTGCTTCATCCATGTCTCATTAGAAGATTTTTGCCCTTTGGACTGCCTTGCTCATGTTTATGCCTCAGCCCTGTGTACAGGGCCCAATGCGGAATAGGCATTCAATCAAGTGTTTATTGAATTGAAAATGTCGTCGACTAGCTCTGTATAGAGCCTGCCTTGTACAGCTCTCTGCTGGGCTCTTTTCGTTTGCTGCTTCTATGTGATATGAAAATTTGTGAAAACAGTGTTGCTAGAAGTATATACTGCGAATAACTTCTGAAAGGTGGCCGAGGGCCTCTCCTAGCATAAAAACCTAACGACTTGTGACAACTCTTTTTGGCTCAGAAGCCATATTTCTGTAGGAGTGTGGAGCCTAGGCAGTTCCGCTGGGAAAGACCAAAGCGGTGGTTTTTGTTGGATTTTCTTTGTGGGGGCTTGCTTTTGTTTTGTGTATTGATTTGAGACAGGGTCTCACTGTGTAGCCCTGACTGGTTTGGAACTGACTGCATTCCTGGACCAGGCTGGCTTCAAACTGACAGTGATCCTCTCAACTCAGCCTCCCTGAAGGATGTTTTAAATTAACCCCTTGTTTTCCAGCAGATGAAATGAATCCGAAGTTAAATGACTGGGTTAAAGTCCACTGCGGTGTGGTGCTTCAGACTGTCCACAGTAGAGTCCACTGCCCCCATGCCTGGTGCTCATCCCACTACCTCTCATACTTCACAACAGTCTCCTTGACAATGGTGGACCAAGGAAGTTTCTCTCCAGGGGGATGGTCCCAGCATGAAGCTGAGACACCAGCCCCTGAAAGAGCAGAAAGAGAAGCTTGTCTTGCCACTTCATAGTAAGGCACCTAGGAAAAGGACCAGTGAACACACTGCAGGCTGCATGCATGCATCAGTCCTTGGAGTGAGTACCACATCTTAAATGTTCCACTGTCAATGTCAGCAGTGAGAAATGATTGCCCTCAGGAAAGAACCTTGCCAGACTTTTACATTTACACCTCTGCCTCATCTACTAGGAACCCCAGAGAAGTTAGAGAGAGAGAGCACATCTGAAACCCCTGACCTCTGCTGCTCAAAAGACAGGTGGTTTTAACCCAGAAGCATGAGTGAGCTGTAAACTGGAAAATGTTCTTGGGGAAACAGGCCAAGGGAGAGGGCCTGAGTGAACTAACTGTTATCAAGTTAAAGTGAAAGACAGTAAGCTGCTTTTTTCAGTTTTTGTCTTCTCTTGCAGTTTTGCTGTTTTCTTGTGGCTTAGAATGTAAAACAGATGTTCAGATTTGTTCTCAATAAATATTTGTCTTTTTTGCCCAGGAAAAATGTTGAGTTGTGTGGATTTATCAGGTGGCCACAGACATGACATTTTAAATACATAGCAGTTTCTGCAGGTGTGGAATTTTGTAAAAGTGCTGTAAAATGATGTCATTTTGGGAGCGTTTCAACTGAAGTTGACTGTGGGTATAAGGATAGATATAGAGAAAACTGTTTGAAATAACATGCCTTCAGAGATGTTGCCAAAGAAGGACTGCATCTGGGTTCAATATTTCTGAGCCTAATGTATCAGGCTAGATTAATACATTGGGAATTATTTTGCCTCATTTAAATGATATATTTTCTTTAATTAAAAATTGAAATATTCAGTCATATCTGTGGGAAGGAAGGATATGATAAGTACTGACAAGTTTTTACTTTTTAAGTAGGTGGTACAATCATCAAGTCTGCCATGATGTTTTTCATTGTGTTTGCTGTTATTTCAAAATGCATGATGATGATGAGTAAAATACTAGCTATATTAATGGTTCAGGGGACAGACTCTAGGAACAAAACAATGTAAAAATTAGTTAAAAATCAGACTATCAAGGAGAACGATGACAGAATGTAATTTAATGGAATTTTGAAGTTTTATTTAGAGGAGACTCCTCAGCATTGCTCATTTTAAAATTAGTTGTGATTAACAAAAGAAAAAAAACACTTGATTTATGCTTAGGTTATATTTAAGCATTCCGAAATCAGTTGTTGAAACTGAGCGAGTACAAGCACTGATTCATAGATATGAAAGACGCCCAGTAGGTGCTTATATTAGGGAACATCTGTGTGTTTTGACAAATATCCAATTTGGTATATTTTGCTTATTTGCTTCTATAAGCAAAGTCTAGTAGAAGAGTGCATCAGCAATCTGACTACTTGGAAAGATGATTTCCTGGGTTCTAATTCCAGAATATATATATATATATATATGCTTGAAAAGTCAGGCATACAGGAATCAACATTCAATCAAAGGACACGAGGCATATGTCATGTAAGTAATATGGAATTTCCTGGCCAGCTTATTTGACATGTTTGTACAATTCTCCCCTTGTGTGAAACACAATGTCAAACTAACATTGCTAAAATTCCTGTGCATGAAACTGATATTTGATTGATTTTTTACCACCCTTGTATCAGCTGAGTGTGCCTAGAAAATTGTTTCATTATGAAGTAAACCAATGTTCTACTCCATGCTGAAGAAAGATCATTGTCAGAGTGGCGTATACTATTTTAAGTGCTGATGAAGAGGGAAAGGCAGAATTTTGCTTGTATGCTAGCTTTGAGAGTCTGTCCATGTTCTAATTGGTGGCCCCCCCAGAAAAATCAAAACAGGGGCTTTCTGTAAACTCAGATGTCATGCAAAAGATAGCAATTGTATGAACTAAGGACAGAATACTGATAATAATTTTTAAAACAGTTTTCCACTAGGGGAAATGCAAAGAATTTTTGAATATCTTTAAAATATCTATTTGTAAATGAATAATGAGCAAAGTATTTTGTGACTATTTATAGAACTTTGAATCAAAAATGAATGCCATATGCATGCAGACATATATGGAACCACACATAAATGCATATATTCAAATAAAAAATTGTAAAAAATATATAAAGATTATCAATATTACAATATCATACAAAAACCTCAAAATATTATATAATCATTAGGACACAGTAAGATAGCATATCCAAAGTGCTTATGTTCAGAATATGGCTAAATGAAACATTGCTATTTACAAAAGTAGCATCTTATTTTGGTCATTCTTGTAAATATATATATATATATATATATATATATATATATATATATCTCAGACATATATTTATTGGAGTGGTAAAATTTAAGAATCTATCATTGCAGTAGAGGAAATGACATGACATATCGGAAAATGTCAGCAGCAAGCTGCAATTCTCAGCACAGAATCACAATCAGCCAGCAGCGAGCAGAAAGGGAGGGTTGCTTGTATGTAGACAGGAATTTGGCTCAAGCAATGGATACAGGATTACCTCCTAGTTTGCACTGGCTGTTTTTTTTTTTTTTTTTTTTTTTTTTTTTTTTTTTTTTTTTTTTTTTTAATAATTGGAGTCGGAGCTCAGAGTAAATTGCATGTTTTTTTCTGTTGCGCACTTTCAATTTCGCTGCTTCAGTGGGAGCACAAGAACATTTAGGTGGGAGGGAGGAATGAAACAGCATCTCTCATGGAGATCTCCATGGTTACCACAGGATTTGCCTCAATTGCTGGAACTGTGATTATTGGCCTTATTTGTTCTTATTCCAGGCTTAATTTAAATGCACTAGTCCTTCAATCAGAGGCAAGGAGTGATAATAAAAGTGTCTGAAGTGCAGCTTCTTACCAGTCAGGGTCTAGCTATACTCCACGACACAGTTAGTCCTGTGTGTAACCAAAGCCCGACTCTATATTGGCCCAGAAAAGGCCGACTGCCCTGACATCTACAGGAGACAGAGCCCATGCAGTTTAGCAAGGTCAGGATTGTTTGATTCCCAGGAGCACAGCTCTGAGTCCCCTGCTCCTGTCACCTGTGCAGCGAGTGGGATCCTGCTTCTGAAGCTACAGCTTCTCTTTAAAGATGTGACGTCCCAGTCTCAGTCTAAAAGTGTTGCATTATAGGAAAGGAAGATAATCGATTTCAGGCACAGAAAAAGAGAGTCTTGCTCTTTCCTGTCTGAGGGAGATCCACTGTGGGAATAGCTATGATATTTTCACTTTTATCCAGTTACCTAGAGTCACTGAAAGTATCTAGCAATAACTGCACCAGACACTAGCCTTTCTGTCACTAGATGCTCTGGGTAGACAATAAAGAATTTTACTTTAAATGAAATTTACTTCTTTTATTCATTTTGCCATTTAGGGTCTCAGAGGTACAAATTTCTAATGTTGGTGGGCAGTGTCAATTCCTTTTGACACATAGAAAATCTTGTACCTGTTTTTTTTGTTTGTTTCCTGGTCAGCCTATTCCTCTCTATGACATCAGGTGAGGCATGAACTTTGTTGGAAATCTGTTATTTACTTGTAGTGATAGTCAGGTATTACATGGTTCCCCTGAGAGTAATTAAGAGCCCAGAATTCTTTCTCCTTGTTTTTGGTAATCTATATGTTTAGAAACTGTGAACGCCTTACCTTAGGTCTGAAAATTCACATTCTGAATTTCTATGAGGGATAGGAAATTTGAGACTGGAAAACTTTGTCATTATGAAATGATCCCCCAGCTTCAAATCTTTCTAGAGCCTTTTCAACACAGATACATGAGGCTTAAGTTCAGCCACATGAAAAAGGCATTAAACATCATAACATAGTTACCCCAAACCTCTAAGAGTCTATAAACAGAGACCCTTGCACGTCATTGTGTTAGTTCCCTATTAATATGAAAAGAAATATCTCACACGTGGGTCAAGTGATAACCAGACCTATCAGCTCATCATTATGTCTTCAGGACTCACTTTATTTGAACTTGACTCCAGTGAAATGAGGCAAATAATGGTTATATTTCTCTGACAATTCTAGTCTCAGGTTCTTGGTCCTTTTATGAGTGTAGGACATTTATTCACCTCATGGATTAATTGTAATCCTTGCAAGTAATTTATTACTTCTATTAAACCTGGGCCACTATGGCAAAAGTAGAAAACACTAGAGGTCTATTCAACATGTGTTGTTTTACATCATGTTGTTCATGAGCATGAGACATTTTGTTCTGGCTGGAGTTATATGCAGAGTAGTTTTTCCATTCCTATCCCATGTAGTCATACTCAGTGAACCTTCTAATGATGTACCATGTGTATTTCTCTTCTATGATGACTTAAGTATGCAGGATCTTCAGTAATAGCTTATTATCATTATATTACGTGTTCTACCCTGGTTTGGAAATGGTTTGTGAGTCACCAGTGGTGGACTATGGGAGCTCCCTTGGCCAAGAAGTTAAACAAATACTCCTTACAGACATCTGAGAGAAAACTCTGATTCTCCTTCATGGTCTAAGATGTGCAGTGTTCACAATATCTCCATGATAAAAGTTGAACCATATCAATTACTTTCATATATGTATAAATATTTTTGTATATGTATGTAGATGTGCTTCCTTCTGACACATTTAGAGGTATAAATATATGTATGTATAACAATATATATGCATACATGTGTATGCACCTTTATGTACCTGAGCATTTCTCATATGTGTACTGTATTTATAATTCAACACTTCTTTCTTTTTTCCTCCTGCATTACCATGTCTGCTACTGGAAATTCCAAAAGAAATACAACTTCTTAGTGAATTTACTTTTTTCATTCATACAAAATATAGTCAGAATTAAATGATGCATTGCATAGTATGTGATAAGGATAAATGAATATTTTTTATCATTTTCCTTCTGGAATTGAAAGGCCTCACAATGTCATTTTGACAAGCCTGACTCTATCTATCTTAACATCTATCCATTTTCCTTAGCTTTTCTGCTACGTTTGGCGAATCTGGAGTGTTTTGAACACGTGCTGCCATTACGATATGTGTTGTCATGCTGCTACCCTTGTTTGGTTGTTTCTTTACTTTGGATTATATTTCTGGTTGGTGTTCATATTTTCTAAACATTGGTCTTAGAAATTTTATATCCTTCTTAGAAGACAATTTTTCCACAGGAGGAATCATATTCCTTAGGATCACGAATTATGTCTTAACATTGAAGACCATACTTTCTGAGTCCAGGAAAAATGTTGAGTTGTGTGGATTTATCAGGTGGCCATAGACATGACTTTTTAAATACATAGCAGTTTCTGCAGGTGTGGAATTTTTTAATAGTGCTATAAATTGATGTTGACTTTTGAGAGTTACAATTAAAGTTGCTTGTGGGTATCAGGATAGATACACAGAAAACAGTTAGAAAAGACACGACTTCAGGAATTTTGCTAAAGAAGGACTTCCTCTGAGTCCACTATTTCCTAGACTTATATATCAAGCTAGGTTAATATATTGAAAATTATTTTCCTTGTTTAAATGATACATATTTCTATTAATCAAAAAAGATTAGAATATTCAGTCATGTCTGTGAGAAACAAGGATATAATACCGTAGGATATGCTAAGTCCTGGTAAGTTTTTTCATTTGAAGGTAGTGTACAATCAACAAGTCTGCCTTGAGGTTTTCACTTTCGTTAGCTGTGATTCCAGTTGTGTTATCTGTGATTTTTTTATGAACAGCACATGATGAAGATGATTAAAATAATAGCTATATTAATGGCTCAGGGGACTGTTTCAAAGAACACAACAATGTAAAAATTAGTTATCAAAACATGATTATGAAGAAGAATGATGACAGAATGTAATTTAATGGACTTTTGAAGTTTCATTTACAGGAGACTCCTCAGTATTGTTCACATTCACTATGTGTTGTGATAAAAAAAGAAGAGACACTTGATATATGCTTAGGTTTTATTTAAGCATTCTGAAATCAAGTGTTGAAACTGAGCGAGTGCAAGCACCATAGACATGGAAAGAGTTCAAGTAGTTTCTTACATTAGGGAACCTCTGTGTGATCTCTGACAAATATCCTTTATAATTATATTTTGATTTTTTGCTTCTAATAAGCAATGCCGATTAGAAGGCTCCCTCAGCAATCTGACTGCTTGAAAATATGATTACCTGGGTTCTAAATCCAGAATACATATATTTAAAATCAGGCATACAGACATCACCATCCAATCACAGGAGACAAGGCACATGCAGTGTGAGTAATCTCATGGAGTTTTCCTGGCCAATTTGGTTAAGATGTTCGGCAAATTCTCAACTTGTGTGAAACACTATGTCAATCTGACAATGCTAATACACCTGTGCATGCAACTAATATTGGATGGATCTTCTAGCACCCTTGTATCAGCTGAGTTTGTATACCTAATTTTTTAATATAAGCAAACCAAAGTTCTACTACATGCTGAAGAAGGATCATTAAACATATAATGTCAGATTGGCCTATAACATTTAATGAGCTGATGAAGAGTGCAAGTAAGAATTTCGCATGTTTGTGAGCCATAATATTCTGTCCATGTTCTGATCGATGGCCCCACAGAAAAAACAACACTGGTACTTTCCCTAAACTCAGATGCCATGTGAAACAGAGTAATTGTATAAACTAAGGACAGAGTAGTGATAATGATGATTCAAGCATAATTCTACTAGGGGAAATGTAGT